GGCATGTAGATTAGTTTTTCTTTCTAGAAGTAGATTGATACAGAGTTTACTCCTTTTGGACCACTTTTTTTAAAAAAATAATATTGTGTTTTTTCAAATTCGATATAAAGTATTTTGATCATGTTAACTCCTCTATTCTCAGACCCTACTGCCCTACCCAACCCAACTCTGTGTCCTGATTTTAAAATTCACTCTTGGGTGTGGGGGCATCCCTGGAGTGTGGTCAACCATCTAGTTGGACAGTCTTTTTATATTCAGCATTATTATTTAGAGACTCATTAATGTGGCTGCATCTACTGGTGATTCATGGTTTTTGTCCCTGCTAAACAGCATTTCATTATATGGATCTAATTATTAATTATTCATCCATTTGGAATATGTGGTTTGTTTGTTACTAGTTTCAGACTATTATAAAGCTCCTAGAATATTTATGTTGAATTCTTTGTTAGATAAAGCATTTATTTGAAAGAGGAGTTGTTAAATAAGATGTTTGATATATCTCTATCTATCTATCTATCTATCTATCTACCTACCTACCTATCTATCTATCTATCTATATTTTTTAAAGAAATTCCCAAATAGTTTTCCAAATCAGCCTACTGTTCTTATTTGGGGAACAGTGAAGGAGAGTTGCAGTTACTATATATTCTTGCCAATACTTGATTCTTCTTTCAACCTTGGCCTTTATAAGAAGTCTGTAATGTGCCTCTTGTAGGTTAGATTGAATTAACTGAACCTTGTCAAGTCTCACACCCTCTTGTTGTACCTGCCATGTAACTTCTTTGGTGAAGTGGTGGTTCAAAATCTTGTTCATTTTAAGTGGGTCATATTGCTTTTATACCATTGATGTTTTGGAGTCTTTGTTGGTACGAATTGTTTATCAGCTATATGTGACTGGAAGACCTATTCTCGCAGTGTGTTTTGTTTTTTTATTTTTGAGTGAGTTGTATTTACTTTAAATTAATTATGATGGAACATGATTTAGACTGTGCTTGGGGGCATTCTAAGAGCACTTGCACAAGGAGTTGTGCAACAGCAGGGATTTCAAACAACAGCAACTGAAGCAGTGTGCTGAACGGAGAGGTGCTTTGGTGGGAACACATTTCTGGAGTACTCTCCATCAAATCAATGAATGAGTTAAGTAATTAACTCAATCCTATTAATTAGTGGAAAGCTGTATGGCTCTTCTGGTCCTGCACTGGTGTTTGCTTAAAACTATTAACTCTAGGAGACTTAAGCCAATTAAACTGGCATTTTAAAAACAACATGGAGAATGAAAGGATTCAGGGAAGAGCTCATTTTGAAAGTCAACAGGCATTGCAACAGAGTTAGAGAAAAATGTATAGATACAGCATTTATTTGGGAGAGGACTTGTTGAATCAGATGTTTGGCATATGTTTTCCTTTTTAAGAAACTCCCAGTGGCTTTCCAAAGCAGCCTACAGTTCTTTGGGGAACAGTGAACAAGAGTTGCCGTTACTGAATATTCTTGTCAATACTTGACTCTTCTTTTAACCTTGGCTGTCATAAGAAGTCTTTAGTGTGCCTTTCATAGGCTAGATTGAATTAACTGAGCGTGGTCAAGCCTCACACCCTCTTGTTCAACTTGTCAAGTCATGGGCAAGAGTGTATTTCTGACCTACCTCCAACTGCTTGTTACCTCTGCACTTCTCACATTCAGAGAGAAAATACAGAAGCCCGAATTGGTTAGGACCTTGTCACCACTACTAGGCAAATCTGCCAACTTCACACACAGATGCAGCTAAGCTGAGGTGGGCTATCTTCAGAAGAGAAGTGACGACAGCAGGCCCACCCTCAT